GCCCACGAGGCAGCGCGGGCTCTACCAGCGCCGGCCCACCGGTGGCCGAGCCCAAAGTGCGGCTGGTACGGGGGGCTGAGCCCGAGGACCGCCGTCCCCGGCCGGGCCGCCCTGTCTCGGGGGGTCGCGAAGTCCGCGCTGGGGGGAGGCTTCGCCGTCCTGCTCCTGCCTCAACCGACCTTCCCTCCTTTTCCCAGGACCGCGCTCCCGACTCTTTGGAGACCGAGACCCTCCGTGAACTTTTTTACGAAGAGGGCAAGGCCTGCCTGCCTGCCTGCCTAGGGGGCGAGGCTACTGCTCCGGGTCAGCCGAGGCCCGCAGGCGGCGTTCCTCATCTGGCGGCAACACACCTGCAGCAGCTGGAGAGCCACTCGAGCAGGACCTGAGCTGGCTACTCTCTTCTTACCTGTCTGGGCTTGTAGCTTTTCCCCAAACAGAACCGATCGGTGCACAGGGGCCCCTGGCCAGGAGGGCTTCCTGCAATACAAGGGCAGGCGGGTTGTGAAGCGAGGCTGGAAGTCTCGAGGGGCTGTGCAGGATTTACCTGTGAAGTAGAAGTAAGCACTACTAGATTCAGGGTCTCAGAAAGTGTGCATGGCTAGTGCAATAACAGTCTCAGAAGCAGGGCCTAAACAGTGCTGTTCTTGTTTGGGTTGGCTTTTAACACTGTCCCTTCAGTAATGGTGCATATTGTCTAAAACACAAAATGTTGCAACTCAAAACGGCCATTCAAGAGGTCCAGGTCCAGAACACTCTATGAACTGAAATTTGTCCTGTACTCAGGACAGGATGAGGCATTTTATTCCATGACATTCTGAGTGTTTCGAGTTCCTGCTGCCATCTCCCCCCCCCCCCCCCCCCCCAATAATTTCTCAAAGCCAGGAAACTTGGACTGTACAATTGGCCAAGGCTAGTAGAGGGGAGGAAGCCAGAGAGGGCCAGTGAAACGTTTGTTCAGAACCTGAGAACTGTTCAGTTGGGTTGCTTTGAAACACAACTTTCAGAAATGTGCTAGAAGTACCATGTTTTGTACCATGCAGACAACCCTTCCTTGTTTTTCTTGGTCACATACACACCCACACACAAACACAAGGTGCCAGCTGAGGCAGCCAGGTCACAATGCATGGAAGGCAGTCATACTCCCAAGAGAAAGAACCCGGTGGCAAGGCTCTCTTGCTGCCTCGTTTTTTTGGAAAAAGTAGCTGGCATGGCTATCTGGTTTTCCCAGGCTCCTGATGAAGCTGTCTTCAGAGATATTGGGGATATCAAGATGTTTATAATTTGGGGCTAATAAATATATACCGGTTGCATTTGTATCTGTTTTGTGGTGCTGCCTTTTGTGCAAAGTCCCAAGCAAATTGAGGTTTGCAATCTTGAATCTAAGGATAGTTGGTTAAACTGTCACGTAAAATGAAAAGCATTGATGTTAGGATTTCTTTCTGTCAAGGAGTAGTCACCCATGTTTATCGAACTGTGCATTTGCACTTACACTAATACTGTAATATGGTGTTTAAATGGGTGTTCTGGATATATTTTGCCATTTTTTTCTCTAAAAGTTTATGTTCAAAGCATATGTTATCAAACAATGCAAGTTCAGTTACAAAACCACAGTTCATCAAAGTGAAGAGAAACATTCTTCTTTCTGTTAACATAAATGTAACCAGCTAATAATTGTATTCAAGCAACCCTCCCCAACTATAACCTCCTAGAAGTCATAGTCCCAACTTATTTGAGGGCAGAAAGTCCATGAAGGATGAGGAACTGTCAGCCACAAGTCAGGTCAGCCACAAGTCAGGTAAAAATCTCAAGTCACCTTTTACCCAAATGGATGTTGAGAAGGCAAGGCATTTTGCAGATGGTGAGAGATGGTATAGAAAAAGGCTGGCACAAGAGAGGGAGAATAGATTCAGACTTGTGCCAAACTGCAGTTCTTCAGGGCTTGGAGTTCTGAGGAAATTTCACTATTACTGGTTCCTAAAGAACCTATGTAAGTAGGCTGTATATTTCCATAAGTTTTATTGCACTCTTCCTGCATAAAGATACATTTACAGGGCATTATATAAAAGGGGTGAACACGGTGGCACAGCGGGTTAATGAATGTGGAAGTTGCTGGCCAGAAATGGTCGACGCTTCAACAGTTCGAGCCCAGCTCCGCACAGCGGGGTAAGCTCCCGTCTTGTGCCCTCAGCTCCTGCCCACCTAGCAGCTTGAAAGCATAAGTGAATAGATAGGTACCCTCACCCTGGTAGGAGGAAAAAACGCTGGCGGCACCTTGCACGGGAAAATGGGACTCAGTTGTGGGTTGCTGGATGCAATGCAATGGAAGAGACCCGATTTCCTGCGACTGCCAGCTGGGCTTCGCCCTAGGAAGGAGGCAATGGCAAACCACTTTTGAAAAAGCCTTGCTAGGAAAACTGCAGGGACTTGTCCAGGCAGTCTCCATAGAATCGGTCATGATTAAAAGCCGATTAAGTGTGTGTGTGTGTGTGTAAATAAGTAAATAAATGGGGAGGTTGATACATTTATAAGTAAAGAATATGATAAAACAAAAGCTGCTGGTGATGAATACAAGCTAACACTACAGCAGTCTGTTCCAATAGACAGTAAAATGAAAACTGAGCTAAGTTCAAAATGCAGTTTTTAAAAGACTCCTTCCTCCCTGAAGGCATGTCTCAAGAGCACAGACCCAGAGGCATCCCTGAAAAGACACTGAGCAGATCCATACAGCTGTTCTGCTCTGCTTCAGAGCACCAAGCGCTGTCCTAAATATTGCTCCCCCCACAGGGCACCCTTGCCCTGCCCTGGAACGGGCTGCCCTGTTGTCCCTATAACACACAGCGCTCTAAGGGATTGATGGCTCCCTTGGCAGACATTCAGGTTCCATCCAATGGACTCCACTGTGTGAAAAGTCTCCTCCAGTGGTCTGCACAACTCTCTGGTTACTCCATGCACAGCAGCTGGATTGTTGTTGCTGTTGTTGTTTTCCTGTCATGCTGAACTTTTTTCCCCTATTTCCCGAAACTGTCTAGCTGACTGACTTAACAACCA